TGCCTGAAAAAGTACAGAAATATAAAGCTATCAGAAAACAACACTTTTAAAACATTATGGAATCTAAAATTCAGTGCAACCCCCAATGGCATTCTTCACCAAGACAGAAAACAATCCAAAAATTCATATGAAACAATAAAAGACCCCAGACAGCCAAAGCAATTTTAGCCAAAATTGGTATCACAATCCCAGAACTCAAACTCTACTACAGAACTATAATAACAACAACAGCTTGGTACTGGCACAAAAATGGGCCCAAAGATCAGTCAAACAGACAAGAAGACTCAGAAATAAAGCCATATACTTATAGTCATCTGATATTTGACAAGGGAGCCAAAAATACACATTGGAAAAAAAGAGAGCTTTTTCTGTGTCTAGGGTACTGAGGAATGGAACCCAGGGCTTCATGCCTGCTAGGCAAGCACTCCACCGCTAAGCCACATTCCCAGCCGCATTCCCAGCCCAGCAGAAACTTTTTGAAGAGTCCCAGAGGCATAGCAGATAGGAGAGAGACTTAACAAATGGGACTACATCAGCAAATGACATAGTTACCAAACTAGAAGGACAGTCAACAGACTGGGAGAAGATCTCTACCAGCAATGCATCTGACAAAGGCCTAATACCCAAAATACACAAGGAACTCAAAAAACTAACCTCCTTCCAAACTAACAAACCAATCAATAAATGGACAAAGGAACTAAGGAGAGACAATTTTAGAAGAACTAAGCATGGCAAATAAACATACGAGGAAATGCTCAACAGCCTTTTCCATAAAGGTAATGCAAATCAAAACAACATAGAGATTCCATCTCACCCCAGTTAGATTGGCCACCATCAAGAATTCACAAAGAACCCAGAAGTGGTGAAGCCATGGTCTGTCAGGTCTATGGTGGTTCTAAGTGCCTGCTACAGTATCTAGGACTGGGTATTAGTCCATAAAATAACAGCTCGGTGGACTCAAGGTTGCTGCATACAAGCAGTCAGGGGTTGGTGCGTGAATGTCTTGAACATGCCATCCACAGGAAAGCTGTCTTCTTCATGATACACAGAACCGCAGTGTACCTGAAGGACCTCTAGATAACCTGCAAGCTGATCATCAGCCAGCCAGGCCCCGCTGGCTCAGCATTGCCAATGGCCTCACCAATGAAAGCAAGCCTCCGTCAGCTTGTACCCCCTTCTGTGCAGCTTCTGCCTCTCATCAAACTAGGTATCATGTGAATGTCGATTCATGGACACATAAGAAACTTCTAGATCTGTCTACAAAATTATTCTTGCTTAGTTTTACCTTGTAGTATGTGACTACTGATGGGTTAAGAGAAGTCCAGGTGTTGAAGACTGTTCTAATGTATTACACACCTTGTCTGGACCACTTCCTTCAAGTCAGCTCAGATGTCACCTCAGACTCCATCTTTCAAACTAATCCCTTGCCTTCTTCAGGTTGCTTTTTGTTACTCTGTAACAATTCCTGTCTGGGAGTTCCTTTACTGTTTGGGTTTCCACATAATCTGTACCTTCCTGTTCTTCAACCTTCTTCTCACCCACACAAACAGCCTAGTCTTAATAAAGATGAAGTCCTTACCTTGTTCAGTACATTATAACGTTGTGGCTACATTCCATCCAATAAAATACTGGAAAAAAAAAGGATTCAAACAACAAATTCTGGCAGAGACGTGAGGGAAAGGAGCCTTACTGCACTGCTGGTGAGAATGTAAACTAGTGTAACCACTCTGGACAGCAGTCTGGAGGATCCTCAAAAACCTAAACATAGATCTTCCCTGTGACCTAGCCATACCACACCTGGCCACCATTACAAGTCAGGATACATAAAGACACTTGTGTATCCATGTTCATTGTTGCACTATTCACAAGAGCCAAGTTATGGAACATCCCAGATGTCCTAAAAAAACAGATGAATGGATAAAAAATGTGGTACACATATACATGGAATTTTGCTCATCCATTAGAAAGAATAATATTATGTCATTTGCAGGGAGATGGATGAACCTAGAACAAATCATGTTAAGTGAGGTAAGCCAAGCTCAGAGAGACAAACAGGGCATGTTTTCTCTCATATGTGGAAGACAGATCTAAAATACAACTGGACATGATCATTTATACAGGGCTGTAAGCACTCACACATAAACATTCAGACTAAAGGAAGATACTCTTAGGGGAAGAGCCATAACTCCTCTGAACATCTAAAATACTATTCATCAAAATGAATTCCAGGAAATAAAAGCATGTTTGTTGTTGTTATTAGTAGTGGTAGTGGTCTCCCTCCCCCACAGTATAACCCCTGCTTTCACTGTATTTGATGTCGGTATAATTTGTGGAGGGGAAGGGCAAAAACAAGTCGTTTAAATAAGGATACAGGTGGACCTGTTGCAACAATGAGAAGTACAAGTTCTCATGTCAAAACGAACTTTACAACTTGGGGGGGGGGGAGGGGGAGGATGGGAAGGGATGGGAAGGGGAAACAAAGGAGGAGGCTACAATGCTTGATAAGAAATGTACTCATTATCTTGCCCATGTAATTGTAACCCTTCTGTATAGTATTTTCACAATAAAAAAAAGTAGTGGTGGTGGTCATTTTTTGAATTTTCAGGGAAGACAAGTGAGGGGCACAGAAATGGAAGAAGGGTGAACAAATGTAGTTATGGCTAATATATACTATGTGAATGATGAATTATGCAACTTGTGGGCAGGGACTGAGGGTGGAAACCGGGAGAAAGCAAAGTAAGGGTTAATATTGTACTCATTACCGAACTTACAGAATGTTAACCCCTCTCTCTACAATTCCTTAATAATAACAATATTGTTTTGGTCAGTTGTGGGGCTTGAACTCTGGGCTTGGATGCTGTCCACCAGCTCTTCAGCTCAAGGTGAGCGCTCTACCACTTGAGTGAGCCACAGCGCCACATCTGGCTTTTTTTTTTTTTTTTGTTCATGTGGTGCTGAGGAATTGAACCCAATCACCAAAAAGCTGGAAATGGAAAGAGCAGAAAGAACCACGCCAAAATAGGAGGCCCTGAGTTCAAGTCTCAGAACTTGTACCAAAATAAAAATACAAATTGTTTGATTCTACTTATTCATATTTATAGGAAATAAGAAGTAAAATAGGGCTTGGAATGTGGCTTAGTGGTAGAGTGCTAGCATTCACGAAGCCCTGGATTTGATTCCTCAGCCACACAGAATAAAGCTGTAAGCGGTGCTGTGGCTCAAGTGCTAGAGTACTAACCTTGAGCACAGAGAGGCTCAGGAACAGTGCCTAGGCCCTAAGTTCAAGCCCCAGGACTGGCAAAAAAAAAAAAAGTACACTATAACAGGAGGCTCTCTGGAAACAAGGAATAGAAGGCAGGAGGAAAGGCCCTGAGGGCACAGAGTCCCTCTCCGGGGATGAATGAGTTTCCTCGTTATCTTTGTTTTTTTTTTTTTGCCAGTCCTGGGGCTTGAACTCTGGACCTGGGCACTGTCCCTGAGCTTCTTTTGCTCAAGGCTAGCACTCTATCCCTTGAGCCACAGCGCCACTTCGTTTTGTTCTGTATATGAGGTACTGAGGATTCATGCATGCGAGTCAAGCACCCTACCACTAAGCCACATTCCTGGTCCCTCCTCATTATCTTGACTATGATAATAGTCATTATTTATATTTATATCAGAACTTATCGTTTAACCATATTCAGTTTATTACATATTAATCCTAACTCAATAAAATTGAGACAAAATAAGTATTCCAACACCAAGTAGAAATGAAACTCAAAAATAGAGATTAATTTAAATTTTTTTAAATGAGAAAATGCCCATTTTTTACATATTTGAATGACATATACACCCATTAAATTATCAAAATTATGGTGAAATGGGACAAAACCTTAAGTTGGTGCTGCTGAGTGAGCAGAGAAGATGGCAGTAGACAGCAGTTTTGTTTTGACTCTTGTCAGTGCTGAGAACTGAGTTTAAGACTTTGTACTTGCCAGACAGTCTATCCTTGAGCCAAGCATCACTCTTTTTTTTTTTTGCTTTAGTTATTTTTTAGACAGAGTCATATGCTTTTTGCGTAGTCAACCTCAGACTATGATCTTCGTACCTATGACCTTCTACACAGCCACAACTATATACGTGTGTGTGTGTGTGTATGTATGTATGTATCACTACTCTCAGCTCATTAACCAAGATGGAGGAGGTCTCATGACCTTTTTGCCTTGGCTGGCCTGAAACCACAATTCTCCCAATCACTACCTCCAGAGTAGCTGGGATTACAGGCTTGCAACTCCCAGCCCTGATTGTGTGTGTGTGTGTGTGTGTGTGTGCGCGTGTGAGTGTGTACATGTGAGCGTGCCTGTACAGTGCTTAAAATCAGGGTCTCATGCTCTTACTGAGCTTTTGTTGCTCAGGCCTCCTATTCTGGTATGGATATTTCTGCTATTTCCAGCCTTTTGGTGATTGAGAGTCTCATGGATTTTCTGCCCAGGCTGGCTCTGAACCTCAATTCTCAGATCTCAGCCTTCTGACTAGTTAGGAATAGTCATGAACCACCGGTGCTTGGCTCAGTTTGAGTTTTACAAGATAACCTCTTGTCATAGCTTACCACAAACCATAACTCAGTTGAAAGCAATGCCTGAGAAACAGAACTGAACCTCTAAGCATGCAATGAATATTCTAGAGCTTGAGGTCAGTTTGGTTTTTTTGCCCATCCTGGGGCTTGAACTCAGGGCCTGGGTACTCTCCCTGAGCTCCTTTTGGTCAAGGCTAGCACTCTATTACATGAGCCACAGTGCTATTTCTGGCTTTTTCTGAAGAGATAAGAGTCTCATGGATTCCCTGCCTGGGCTGGCTTCAAACCACTTTCCACAGATCTAACTTCCTGACTAGCTAGGGTTACAGATATGAGCCACCAGCACCTGGCTTGAGGTCAGTTTGTAAAGAATAAACATCTAGGGAGGTCAGTACCTTTTCTGACCCTTCAGTACCTCTTCAGGGTGCAGTATACTACTCCTTACCACTTAGAAGCCACCACAGCAAAGGGATGAATCCTGGGCTCTCACTGATGTATTTCAAGCCTTTGGAATTGATGCTCACATTGTACAAGGACATCAGCATTAACCTGGAATGAAAAGGAAATGGTGTTGACCAGCTGACCTACCACATCAGACTCCACCCTTCCCTGCTCAAAAAGACCTGACGCATTCAAAGCCTTCTTCACATCTCCAATGTCTAGCCACAGCATTGGGTTAAAATATGTGACAAGTGGTACTCAGCTACATAAGGCCACATGAGAACAAAAGCTTCTCTGGTGATACAATGATGTCACAATGCCACCTTGTATGGGCTCACAAATCACATGAAGGAAGAAGGGATCTCAGAGGAACCTCACCTCTTTTTTGTTGTTGTTTTGTTGTTGGTTATGGGGCTTGAACTCTAAACCTGGGCACTGTCCCTCAGCTCTTCAGCTCAAGGAAAGTGCTCTACCACTTGAGCTACTTCCAGTTTTCTAGTAGTTTTATTGGAGATAAAGAGTCTCATGAACTTTCCTGCCCGGGCTGGCTTTGAACCGTGATCCTTAGATCTCAGCCTCCTGAGTAGCTAGGATTACAGGCGTGAACCACCAGCGACCACCTGAAAACCTCAATTCTATTTAATGATTCTTTCTGGTACCACATCTGCATTTATATTCAGGTAATCCTCCATTTTGTGCACATACTGTGATCTTGATCAATGAAAATCTAATAATCTTTTCATTCAATAACTGTGACACATGACATCTAGCAGCCAGGTCAGGAGGTCATACAAAACTGCTTAACCTATGGTATGGTCTACATCATGACCCCTCACCTCAAACAAGCAACAAAATAATCTCCTTAGCAAGAGTCTCAGTAACTGAACCACATCTGGCAACTCAAAGTTCAATGGAATTTGGCAACTACCAACCTTTGATTCCTAAAAATCTATAGAAACCCCAGACCCTTCACTTTACAGAATAAAAGCAGCAGCAGAGCTGGGTACAATAGCTCATGCTTGTAATCAGACCTGCTCAGGAGGCTAAGTTCAGGAGGAGTGCATTCCAGGCCATCTTGAATTTGAAAAAACAAAAAACTCACAAAATGTTATCTCAACACAAAATCTGGGTGCAGTGGTTAATGCCAGCCATCCTAACTAAATGGGAGCATCACAGACTCCATTTCAAAAGTAGCCAGAGCAAAAGGGCTGGAGATATGACCCAAGCAGTGGAGCACCTGCCTAGCAAACTTGAGACTCCAAGTCCAAACTCACACTGGCAGGCGAGGGAATGAAGCAAGCTAGACAAATGACTGAAGTGTGGCTTTGTATTAGAGCACTTACCTCAAATACATAAGTCCAAGGTTCAATCTTCACAAAGGGAGAGGGGGGAAAAGCTAAACAAATATTTTTCAAAACCTTTCAAACAACCAGTGCACTTGCAAGAAATAAGAAGCTGGGCACTGGTGGCTCACACCTGTAATCCTAGCTGAGAATCCTAGACTGAGATCTGAGAATCGCAGTTCAAAGTCAGCACCAGAAGCTGTACGTGGCACCGTGGCTCAAAGTGGTAGAACATTAGCTTTGAGCTAAGGGACAGCACCCAGGCCCTGAGTTCAAGCCCCATGACCAATCAAAAAGAAAAAGAAAAGAACAAATGAAAGAAAGGAGAGGAAAGCATCTCTGATCAGTAACAAGGAGGTTAAATGCAAAAAAATGGCAATTTCTAGAAGCCTGGAGTTTCCATTATAGTGGCTTCATCTAGAGGACTGAAAGAAAAGCCTGACAGACAAACACATTCATTCATTCAGATCACAGCCCTGCAGAAAACAGAAAGGAATCAACTTTCAAGTCCACATGAATACACAGTTGACATTCCTGGAAACCCCACAAGCCAATAACATAAAGCAGCTCTGGATAGGAGCTTTCCCAGCCCTCCTGGACATTAAGGCATCCCCACAAATACAACTCTAACCAACGTGGGTTCATAATGCAAACCACAGTAAGGCTACAAATAACAGGCAGCACGCCAATGAGAGAGTAAGAACCAGAACGCTCTCATGGACTAGAGGTGTTAACTGTAAAAACACACAAAATGTTGAATAGGCTACACACATATACACACATGCATACACACATGTGCATACATACACACATACATATAAAGCTGATACTGGGCTTGAACTCAGCCTGGGCACTGTCCCTTAGCTTTTTCACTCAAGGTTGGCACTCTACCTCTTGAGTCACAGGTCCACTTCTGGCTTTTTTGCAAGTTAATTGATGATAAGAGTCCACAGACTTTTCTTCCTGGCTCACCTCAAGCAGCGATACTCAGAACTCAGCCTCCTAGGGCTTGCAGGCATGAGTCACTAGCACCCAGCCAGCAAAAAACCAAAATATATGTTTAATAAAATTAAAACAGGATCAAGAAGCTAGAGCTACTAGTTAAGAATGACCAGGTAGTCAGGCGCTGGTGGCTCACACCTGTAACCCTAGCTACTCAGGAGGCTGAGATCTGAGGATCGTGGTTCAAAGCCAGCCCGGGCAGGAAAAGTCTGTGAGACTCTTATTTCCAATAAACCACTAAAAAACCAGAAGTGGCACTGTGGCTCAAGTGGTAGAGCACTCGCCTTGAGCTGAAGAGCGCAGGGACAGCGCCCAGGCCCAGAGTTCAAGCCCCACGACCGACAAAAAAAAAAAAAAGGCAAGAGGTCTGATGCAATGGTAAAGCACTTGTCCTAGCATGTGCAAGGCTTTGGGGTTGATCTCCAGCACAAAAAAGAAAAACAAAACAAAGACAGACTTTTCTAGAAATGAAGAAATATAAGCCCTCAGATTCAGGAAACACAAAAAGCCTTTAGAAAAACAATGATGATTACAGATTTACAAAAACCACAAGCCAACTATGGAACACAAGAGACAGAAAAGAAAGTAACTCCCACAATGACACAATTCCACAGAAAGGTGGACCTCCACAATGCTGACAGGGTTCTAGGCTCCCCGTAACACAGATGGGGGCAGGTGACAGGGTTCTAGGCTCCCCGTAACACAGATGGGGGCAGATGGCAGGATTCTAGGATCCCTGTAACACAGATGGGGGCAGTACTGGACATGAAACTCCATGTGACAGAGTTCTAAGACCCCTTGTAGCACAAATGGGGCAGTAGTGGACAAGAAAATCCTCATGACAGGGTTCTAGCATTGTTACTACTCAGGACCATTAGGCACTATACTGATGAGGAATTCTGTATAATAGACCTAGAAAGATAAATGAATGAATGTTAAAAATAATAAAAGCATACATTCCAACTTTTAAAAACAGATAAGAGACTGAAGTCATAGAAAGTATACCTTCTACATATACAGAGAAAAATTACAACAAACTTAGAATTATAAACTCAACAAAAAAATTTATAGCAAATATAGTAAAGCAAAAAACAGCTGAAGAAAAATAGTAGAGTTGTTTTTTTTTTATCATAAACAAACCTGAACTAAAGTCAGGAACTGTGGCTCACACTTATAATTCTAGCTACTCAGGAGGCTGAGATCTGAAGATCACAGTTGGAAGGCAGCCCAGCCAGAAAAGTCCTTAAGACTCTTATCTTCAATTAAACACCAAAAAGCTAGGAGTGGAGCTATGGCTCAAGTAGTAGAACTTAGCCTTGAACAAAAAAGCACAGGGACAGTGCCCAGTTCAAGCAACAGGTCTGGTACATGCACACACACACACACACACCTGAACTACATAATTTCAAGTAGTGATAATAAAAATAATAATGGTGGGGGCAGGGGGAGGATGGGAAGGGATGGGAAGGGGAAACAAAGGAGGAGGCTACAATGCTTGATAAGAAATGTACTCATTATCTTGCCCATGTAATTGTAACCCCTCTGTACAGTATTTTCACAATAAAAAAATAATAATAATGGTATATCGGTGTGAAAAGGAGGCTATCTGGAAGGGAAATGGAAAGGAAGATCAAAATGCCTTATTTATTTATCTAAGACCACAGCACAATGAAAACCACCAAACACTTTTAAAAGGGGAGAATGCATTTGATGAGACTGGTTTGGGAGTGGGAGTAAAGATGAAGGGAAAATGGCAGGGGGTTGATAATATTTTTTTAAGTATCAGGTACATCAGTGGTGTCGTTAAAATCCTTTTCTATAACTAATTGATGTCAATTAAATAAGAGGGGGAAGGTTTAAAGGAACATAATAGAGAGGGTGAACCTGCTCAAAGTATACTGTGCAAATCTATGACATATTCACAGTGAGTACTCTGTACTATAAATATATGCTAATTCAAAAATTTTTAATAAAAGTTTTAAAAAAGAAAATCTAGCTGGGTGCTGGTGGTTCATGCCTGTCATCCTAGCTATGCAGGAGGCTGAGATCTGAGGATCACAGTTCAAAGCCAGCCCAGGCAAGAAAGTCCATGAGACTCTTATCCCCAATGTACCATGAGAAAACCAGAAGTGGTGCTGTGGCTCAAGCGGTAGAGCACTTGCCTTGAGCTGAAGAGCTGAGGGACGGCACCCAGGTCCAGAGTTCAAGCCCCATGACCAAAAAGAGAAAAGAGACTCCCCCTGAGTTTGTAGCCAGCCTCAGAATTGCAGAACCACTGATAAGAGAGCTGCTGGCAGTGGAGCCAGCACTGAGCCAGGCAAAGCCAACAGCCGCTGCCTGCCATAGTGAGCACAGTGATGCTCTCTTCAGGGAAGACAGCGGATCCTGAGGTCCCACACAGTGCAGCCTCTGCACGATCCAGTGCAGGGACTAGCAGCTACTTACCTGGCAGTGACAGCTAGTGCAAGGAGAAGAACACAGAGTCAAGGGACTGCCAAAAGGCTCAACGACAATGACTTTTTAAGTATTATAATTCAATATTTTTTAAAAATCAAAACTAGGGGCTGGGAAGGTGGCTCAGTGGTGGAGCGCTTGCCTTGCATATATGAGGCCCTGGGTTCAATTTCTCAGCACCACATAAGCAGAAAAAGCTGGAAGTGGCGCTGTGGCTCAGTGGTAGAGTGCTAGCCTTGAGCTGAAGAGCTGAGGGACAGCGCCCAGGCCCAGAGTTCAGGCCCCATGACCAAAAAAAAAAAAAAAAAAAAAAATCAAAACTAATGCAAAAAGTCTATAAGCATTACCAAAATATTTTGAATAAAAACTGATCTGTAACAGTGCCATGCTAAAACATACTGGATCCTAGAACAAGAGAAAATAATGAATACTACTCAGTCCCATTAATTAAGGACTAATTAAAAATATGACACAAGCATATGTACACAAAAAAACCTCATTGTGTGTTAAAATGTCTGGTTTTCCTACCAAGTTTAGTCTGTCAGAATCAAGCTCTTTGGCTTGCCCAAAGAGTAATCACAGAGTGTGCACTTTGTGACCGAGAGCTTCACAAGAGCACAATACGTTAAGACAGGGTCTCTCTTCTCCCCCCACCTCTCCATGGGCATTCTCAAAGTCAAAGGCAATTCCCAATCCCCAAGAAACAAAGCTATACCAGCATCTTCAAGAACAGAGATTCTCTATCCTCCCAAAGACTAAAAATGAGCCAAAGTCTATGTCACTAACAAATTTTTTTGTCAATCATGGGGCTCAAACTCAGGGCCTGGGCACTATCCCTGAGCTCTTTTGCTCAAGGATAGTGCTCTACTACTTTGAGTCACAGCACTATTTCCCGTTTTCTGGTGGTTAATTGGGGATAAGAGTCTCATGGAGCCAGGCGCTGGTGGCTCATGCCTGTAATCCTAGCTACTCAGGAGGCTGAGATCTGAGGATCGCGGTTCAAAGCCAGCCCGGGCAGGAGAGACTGTGAGACTCCTATCTCCAATAAACCACCAGAAAACCAGAAGTGGCGCTGTAGCTCAAGTGGTAGAGCACTCGCCTTGAGCTGAAGAGCTGAGGGACAGCCCAGCCAGTAAGAAAAATCTTAACTCATACAGAAAAAGAAAGTCAAAAGACACTAAAGCCAGGATAATAGAGATGCTGAAAGTATATGGCAGTAATTTGATCTGATTTAGTATGTGTGTGTGTGCACACGCACACATGCATGCACTCAAGGGTATAGTACTGGAGCTTGAACACAGGATCTCAGCCTTGGCTTTTTCACACAAGACTGGTGCTCTATCGCTTGAGGCACACCTCTACTTCCCTTTTTTTTCTGGCTTAATTGGAGGTAAGAAACTCATAGAATTCTTCTGTCGCCAAGCCGGCTTTAACCCATGATTCGGATCTCTGCTTTCTGAGTAGGTAGGATTACAGTTAAGACACCAGTGCCTGGTTGGCTTCTATTTAAGAGATTACAGCAAAAAACAGTGCTCTGATAAGGAAAAGCTCTGAATGAATGGTGTGACAAGAACAATACTAAAATACCCTACAGCCTTAGGGCTGTGGCTCAGTGGTAGAGTGCTTACCTACCTGTGGGAGGCCCTGGGTTCTATTCCTAGGACTTCCAAAAAAGGAAAATTAAAAAGATTTCCTGCCCTAATCCCTGTAACTATAAATACCTCGCATCTTGATTGTGTTAAATTGCCTGGCAAAGGGGTTCTGAAACGACATTAAGGTTACTCATCAGAGCTCTGAGTTGATTAAAATGGGTTTATGCAGGTACGGCTAATCTAATCACATGACCCTATAAAAGGTAGAGTGTCATTGGGCAGGGCTGGCGGCAGGCGAGGACGGCTGAGAGACTCCAAGTAACCTGAGGACTCCGTGAGCAAGGAAGCTTCAGAAAGGAAGCCATGCGAGAAGGGTCCCACTCAGCTGTGTGGGAAAGTATGTGCAGGAAGTATGGGCTAGAAAAGCCCAGCCTGGCATTTCCCTGAACTTGGCCTGTGTGACCCAAACAGAGACACCATTCAATCCCACTCAGACTTCTAACCCACAGAGCACTGTGAGATGACAAATGTCCTAACTTGTGTTCTAACTTGCTCCGTGACATCTGCTGTCTGGGAGTGGAGCACTGTAGGAGCAGACGCCTTCTGGGGTTAACGAGACCACTAGTGCTATAACCTTAAGGCATCACATGCAGCTCTGTAGCTGGGACTCATGATTATTCTAAAGTGAGAACATTTTTTCTTAATTTCTTCTCCCCTTCTCCTCTTCTCCTCACTGTGTATGGGTGTGGGTATCTGTCTCTGTCCTCTGTCTCTCTCTCTTCTTTTTTGGCTTTGGGACAGGGCTCCTCTCCTCCCTCCTCCCCTCCCCATCTCTTTCTCTCTCTCTTTTTCCTCTTTTTTGGCTATGAGACAGGGCCTTGAGGTGTAGCCTGGACTGGTCTCAAACTCTCAATCCCCTCACCTCAGTTTCCTGAGTGCTGGGGTTATATAGAAGTATACTACCACATCCAGCTCATTTTTTTCTAACTGTACTAGATTGAACCCAGGACATCTCATTTGCTAGGCAAGTGCTCTACCACTTGAGTTACATTTCCAGCATATTTTTCTAAACTACTACTTAACCCCGCCATTGGGAGGTAGATAGGAGGATCATGAGTGTAAGGCCAATCTGGAATATACAGTCAGCTCCAGGTCAGTCTGGGCTACAAAGCCAGACCCTGTTTAAAACTAAATTAAATTCCACCAAACAGATAGTGCATTCTTAACCTCTCCAACAGATGTGTTTCTTCTTTTTTTTAGAAATAGTGAAGCCCAGTGGGCAAAGCCCTTTGTATACCACTGAGAACTGGTAGCTGTTATGCACATACACTTTGAGTTTGGTGCACTGTCCTGGCTTCAAGTCCCCCAGCAGCTGTAACATGGTGTCCAGGAGCACCCGACTGGAATTAACCAGGAATTCACGACCGCATGCTATGGCAGCAACATCTGCAACAGACATGAGACAAAGGTCAAGACTGTGGGGGGCTGCACAATATGGAAAATTCTCTTCAGGATTGAGTATGTAGCACTGGTTTTCTCCTAAGGAAAATACCAACAACTGATCACTAAAAAGCTGTATTGTTCTTGATCACCATAGGAACTACCATAAGTAAGGGGAGGGGAGGGAAAGGATGTCCTGAGCTATGGCCCCAGGCCCCAGAGCACTGTATGGCCTCCATCTAGCCCAAGCAGAAAACAGGGCTGGTGGCCTGGCCTGGGATTGAGCATACTCTCAATTCTGCCAGTACTGGCTAGTAACTTTTATTTGGTCAGTCATGGGGCTTGAACTCAGGGCCTGAGCGCTATCCCTGAGCTTTTGAGCTCAAGACTAGTGCTCTACCACTTTGAGCCACAGCTCTACTTCCAGTTTTCTGATGGTGAGCTGGAGATAAGAGTCTCATAGACTTTCCTGCCTGAGCTGGCTCTGAACTTTGATCCTCAGACTTCAGCCTCTTTCATAGCTAGGATTCTAGGTATGAGCCAGCTGGGTAGTAACTTAACTATGACATGAAACTGAAAGCATATGAGGTCAAAGGCAGGGTAGGAAAGCTTACTCTGAAAGGACTTCCCCCCCCCCAAATGTTATCATAATGTACTGTGATCAGCAAACGGCTTCTTCATGCATGGGACCTGCAAACCAGCAAGTGTGCAGAGCAGGTTCTCCACCGGGTGCTCAGCAGATGGTGCTCTATCAACACCTCAACACCTGTAAGGAACATCAGCAACCCAAGAACATAGATGTGCTTTCTTGACCCTTTTCTCCAGTTAGGGCTGAATGAAGCATAATCCAAAGTGGTTTAAGGATTATCAAACAAGTAGGGCAAGGTGGAAGTGAGGCTGGCAGCAGCATCCTTGTCTTTTTCCTGACTTCAATGGAAATGCTTCTGGAAATCTACAACTAAGTATAATGTCTGACCTGTTTCTAATGGACAGTTTATCTGTAATTTTCTAACAATTACCAAAATCAGAGAGAATTTTTATACTCATTTTGTACTTGCTATCTGACTGCAGAACATAAAATTTCATCAGTGCTACCTGATCAACTTCATGGGATCATGCCCTTTATATCCCTGCTTATCTTTGTTGGCCTGAGCTGTAATTAAGCAAGTGAGGTATATTAAAAGCCTCCTAACACTGATGGACTTTTTCCTATTTCTACTTACCTCTCTAGCATTTTTACTTCTTAACTGGTGCTATATATCATTTGGAACATAATTTGTGACATGACCCTTCCTTAACGAAATGTATCTTCTTTGCTTAATGAATTTCGACCTGGAACTATACTCTCTAGCAAATGACACATACAGCTTTCACTACCGAAATATTTGGGGGTTGGGGGTGACACAGTTAAGCTTTTAGCATCATGAGCACATGGAAGGTGCCTGTGGCACCTTGTAGGGGAAAGCAGTGCTTAGGTAACCAAAGCACACCGCCCACTGGGCCCCAGTAGGAATCATCAGCTACCTGGGATCTGGTAGACGGTTCCCAGTAAGACATGCTACCAAGTGCAGACTCCATACTACCTCCTGTACTGCAACTCACTTGTAACTGGTAAAACGCAGCAAAACTGACATCCTATGTCACCTGTGAGATAGAAAGAAGCCTACATTCACTTCCATCCTGTCCCCTTATCACACTTCCACCAGCCCTGAATTTCCTGGAGATTAAAGAGACAGGATGAAGCCATGAGACTATACAAGGAGACCGAGAGAGATGGCTGCCAAGTCTCAGCTGTTCTATTCCTCACAATGGGGTGCTCCCTGCACTGTTCTATCCCTCACAATGAGGTGCTCCCTGCACTGTTCTATCCCTCACAATGGGGTGCTCCCTGCACTGTTCTATTCCTCACAATGGGGTGCTCCCTGCAGTGTTCTATCCCTCACAATGAGGTGCTCCCTGCA